AGTCTGTCGTAGGGCAAGTAATACATTTTCTAACTGAAAATTAGTAAAATAAGATATAGATTTTGAATTTTGTCTATGAAAATAATTCTAAAAAATAAACAGCTCCCGACTAATTAAAGTACCCTGCTCATACACTTATCCACCACTGAATATTTCCTGAACATTTTGTTCAAAAGCTCCATCAGGCTTGCTTACTTACTTTATGTAATCGCTTTACCCTAAATGGCTATCCTTTGCATTCCTGGACAATTGAGATGTTCAGACTAGACATTGATGATCTTAACACAAAAAAGTGGTAGACAGACGTTTAAAAATCAACTTTCATTATGTGGACTTAGATAAGTTTAACATTTGAACCCCAGGATTTCTGCCTTTTACTGACCTCTGCTGTCATATGGGAGAAACTACAAGTTGATAAAGATAATATCTTTTAAATAAATATTAACTACCTAATCACAACCCAAGCAGTAAAACTGAGTGTTGAAAAGAAATAAGAAGTTAAAAAAAATACAGCAGCTTACTTAACCATTTAACAGCCTGGTCAAACAAATGGTTTGAGGTGGAGAAGGCAGTTAAGACATTAATAGATTAATGTTTTCTGTGTGCTTTGAATGTATAATCCCGTGCTATCATCTCAACTTAATTATAATGAATTACATGTTAAGGATCTCACTTATTTCTGCCCCAAGATCAGTCCCAATAGAAGTTCTTCCCTAACATGAGGTGCCACCTTTATCAGAGCACCGCTTGAAGTTCTCAGTGTAACATTGTAGTGATGTACAACAACAGGCAGACAACTAAGGACTAAACTGATTCAAATTAATTCTCAAGCCTGTACTCTGCTGCAGAGTTGAGGTTTAACTTTTCACATATTACTAATCTATTATAATCGTTTGAATCAATGTCATGCACATCAAGTTTATTTATAAAGCACTTTTCACTAACAAGACCATTTAAAGTTCTGGATGAAAGTAAAATAGAAAATCATGGGAAACAAAGCCTTAATCAAGAAAAGGCATTCCAAGGTCAAGCCCACTGCATTGGAACAGCTCCAGCAGGTTTTATACAATGTAAATAAGACTATAAACTACAACAATAACAATCAAAGGCAGTTCTGAACAAATTGGTTTTTAACTTTGACTTAAAAGAACTCTCGCTTTCAGTACTGTTAAAGTCTTGTGGAAGTTTGGTCCAGACAAGTGCAGCATAAAAATTTGTGGTTTGACCCAAAAGATTTTATGGCCTTGAGGTTTGATGTTAATGACAAGTCTGTGATGTATTTGGTGCTGATTCATTCAGTGATTTATTCACTACCTTTCTTTGAGATGCGGGGAGCCGGTGGAAATACTTCAGGCTGATGCTAGATCTGGTAAGAACACAGGCAGCAGCACTTTTGGCATAATCACTTCTACTAAAGATTCAATTCAGTCTATTTACATAGTGCCAATTCAAAACACATGTCATCTCAAGGCACTTTACAGTTCCCCAGATCATACAGTCAAATTGATTCAAAGTTTTCTATCTCAGGAAAACCAGTTGATTGCAACGAGTCATTGACTCGAATGCAATCCTTCATACTAAGCATGCTTGTAGCGACAGTGGAGAGGAAAAACTCCCTTTTAACAGGAAGAAACCTCCAGCAGAACCAGGCTCAGTGTGAGCGGCCATCTGCCGAGGCCAACAGGGGTTAGAGGAGACAGAAGCAGAGACACAAAAAGCTATTTTAAATGGCGGCCCCGTCCAGGAAACACACAGCCAGACAGACGAGCTCCGAGCCAGCTCCCATGTCAGAGGATGAAAGAAATGCAAGAATGAGGTTTTCTAGATCCTGCTTGGACATCAGTCATTTAATCCAAGGAATGTTCTTCAGGTGATAGAAAGCCAACTTTGTAATTCTGTTTAGATGCTTTTGGATGTTTAGATCTGAGTTTAAAACTACACCCAGATTTCTTGCCCGATCAGTGAAAAAACCAAAGCTGTGCACCAGCTTTTTATCAGCTCGGTTTTGTTTTTATTCACTTTAAGAAAATGTAGCTAAAGCCATACACTGATTTCTTCAAAACATTTACTCAGCTCTTGAATGGGTTGATAATAACCTGGTGACATGGTGATAAAGAGCTGTGTGTCAAGTGCATATTTATGGTAGCTGATTAAGTTTTAATTTTTATTATCTGAGCTAAAAGGAGCATGATACTGAATATTAGGGAACCCAAGATGGACCCTTGGGAAAAATCACATGTATTTTTTGTTATCTATGATGTAAACTTACCTACTGACACCAAAGTCCCTACGTTCTCTGTACTGTGGTTTGCACGGTCTACAGAAACCTGACAGTAACGTATCAAATCAAAGCAAACAATGATTGTCACAAAGGTATTTAATTGTTGAAAGACAGCTTTTTCAATGATAAAAGGGAAGTTTGTGATGGGCCTGCTATTTTGCAGAAGTAGTTGTTTGTCCAAATTGTTCTTTTGCAGCAGTCCTTTGATAAAGGCTGTTTTTTAGGGATTGTGGA